CAAATTCATGGTTGTTAGCAACAACATCCAACATGCTAGGCGGAACTGGTAAGTCCAGTAATGGATGTTATTTGGCGTAGGCCCCTATAATTAGATTTTAAAATTAATCAGACAGATAACGGCAGTATTTTTGTGATAGTCATGGCCTTTCATACTTTTTGCCGTTTCGTTTACGTTCTTCCATCTTTGTACGCACCGGTACCTTTGTAACGGTAGGCCTACTGTCAGGACCAAACTGATTACGGAAATCTTAACTCGGCCAATAATGCAGCAAGCCGGCCGGGAACAGAAGTGGCGCCAGGATTTGCCCGACGGGGGGAGGGGTGCCGATTCTCTCGACTGGGGTCAGATTTCCCCGACGAAAGCAAAGTGGACGTGGTCAAGCTTCGATGAAAAGGCTTCGAAAGTGGTCCAGGGGGCCAAGCCCCCGAAAATGTTGACAATGTATGGGTTTCAAAGGCTTATTTAATCGATTTTAGAGTCTACTAATAGGCCTATGCAGACAATACGTACCGTATATTTTTTTTTCTCCCCGACGAATTGTGCTTTTTCTCCCCGACCGGGGGGCCCTTCCCCCTCCCGCTGGCGCCACCCCTGGCTGGAAACACACTGCGCCAGATGGTCGTAGGCCGACGACATTCCACTGAGAACGCAACATGACGATGCGATCCTCTCAGTCAGTCTGCCATCGACAATCAGTCGCGTCGTCTCAGAGAGCGGAGATGGATTCGTCGGCCAGTCGTGTGCCCGGTTTTACTTACTCTGGCGGTTTTGGTTAAAGTGAATTTGCTCAAACATGAACTCATTGGTGATATCATTTGTAATAAATAACTTGTTCTCGTGATGGGTGACCTTTTCATTAAATGTTTGATTTAGGTTCAAACATTCCAAGCCTCACATCCGAACACGAATGTTCAATTCGCGACCATTAATGACTTGATCAACAATAGTAGCCTTCGGGCAATTATTTTCAGGCAAAAATGGCTTAGTCATGCCCTTATTTTTCAAAGGCGGTGGCGTCAGAATTTACAATAATTTTTTTATACTAAAGCATTTTGTTAAGAGAGTTAATACACAACATGGGCCTACCAATATTTTTGTTTACTTCATTTGCTTTATTCATACTCTACGGGATTTAGACCACTCAATAGCTAAAATTTTATTTAACCATAACACATGCAAGACACATTTCAGCTTTTATCCTGTCTACACCGAATCATTACTGTACTGCTGTACTCCATCAGTCCAACTTTAGAATAATAATCTGACTCAGAAACTAAATAACCGTTAGTTTATTGGGACTAGCCGGTTAATAAGGGTGACCAGTCTCACACACATACTCATTGATGCCCACGATGACGGACGCGGCCACAGACGAAAACAAAACAACATAATTTTCGTCATGACATTTTTATCACACTTTCCTTTCTTCTTTATCATCGCTCAGATACATAAACTTGCCCGGTGTGCTTCCTTGTTAAAGTTATTAGGCACAACAATGTAACATGTAACATGTAACAATGTAACATGTAACAATGTAACATGTAAATACAGTTACTTTCATTCAAATGCCAATATTAAGCTGTCATTCGCCAATTATTCCATAACCCTTGTGCTGTTACCGGTAAGTTTTTGAGAACAGTCGCTCAGCAGATCACACGCTCGATATTTGTACATCACCGGTTGTCGAGATTTTAGTTTCGACACGCGACGAGAGATGATTGATTTTCTGAGCTATAACGTTCCGATGGGTGATAATCTATTACCAACCGGCAGGTGTAAAGCGCGTCACAATAAATAACCATTAGCCAGAATTAAATAGTACGAACTTGCCATCTCAAACCACAAAAAATCTCAAACCCAGACGGGATCCTGCAAAAGTTCAAGAGATGGTTCAAGACCACAATTGCAGTAGTAGACCAAACTTTGAGATGTGAATAAATCAATTCAAATCGAAATAACTTTGTCCGTCGTTGTAGTGGGACACCGCACATATTGGTATAATAATATACGCGAGATACTGATTGCTAAAAATAATCAGTTATAATATTTTACAAATACAGAGCCACCAACCATCATACATGCATTTATAGGCCTAAATAAAGGTACGAATTGATGTTGTCCTTACCTAGTGTCGGGTCGTACTCGTTGATGAACCTTTTTGTGATGAACTTGACTGTAAGAGCTGAAAGATAATTTTGAAATATATCGATAATTATTAACACTGAAGTACCTATTTAGAATATCTAAATGGCGATGACAGAGTATCTCGATACTTCATTCTCTTTAATAATAGAAATATTTAATATATTGAATATATTGAAGAATTAAACCGAACAGATTGTTATCGATAAAAAGCAAAAAAAAGGGTTGGTTGGGGACTGCGCGACACACACGAAGTCACGATCTTAAAACTTGAAAAGGGTAGCGCCAGGATTTGCCCGATGAGGGGGGGGGGGGGGGGGGGGAGGTCCGAAGTACATGGGTGGGTGGAGGCCAATGTTCCCAACGAGGCATAAATGGGAGTGGCGGGGCGTCGCTTGATAGTGGTCCTGGAAACTATGACTATTTAGGGGTTTCAAAGGGTTATTTAATCGATTTTTTTTTCTCCACGACGAATTGTCTTATCATCTACGGGTGGGGAGCTCTCCCCGACGGTGGCTTCTCCCCCGCCCCACTGCGTCACCCCGAAAATACACATCCGGTTATCACTCGGCACAAATCAGTTCTATCAAAATATTTTAAAGTAAGACCTACATTATTCGGCACTAAAAAAAAAAAAGCATGACCACATATAACAGAGCTTGTATTGGTATTATTTCATATAGTTCTTCCTCGTTTGAAATCGGTCAGTCGTCATCAAGGGCAGGCCTACAGGCGCCACCCGCGTTCACGCTAGTAAATCAGGAATGTTATTATTGAGTAAAAATATAAGTGAACCATCCCTTGATTGGCAACTCTTAAGAATGGGCTACCGGATATTTAACTTAAGTAACTGCTTAATTAATATTTTTTTAATTGAAAATTAGAACGAGAAAATATTCTCACAGATTACGGTATATAAATCAACGAATCAATCAGAGTAACATTTATTTTCTTCAAATTGAACAAAAAAAAAAACAAAACAGTACAATGTAAAGCAAGATAAATGGTTTGAAGAAGGCATAACCAAAAAAGCAAAAGCTTGTGGCAGGCATGCTTTACAATATTACAAGAACAATAAATAAATAAATAAACACATAAACGGGTTAAAAAAAAGCATGAAACATTTAATTATAAATAACAAGCCTATCGTTCCTATATCCTTATATACAGGTGATTTTTATTGGCTGTATGTGTAATTAATTTAAGAATTTGCGTAGTAAAAAGTCTGTAACCAGCAAAAACCGATGTCTCATAAAGTGACCCATCATTTAATTAAATGTTTAGGGTATTTTCGGATTTCACCCCATCTTTTAAAAGGTTGCTTATCGTCACTTCCTTATATTAATGGAGTCGCTTCGACGCTTGGTAGACGTCTTCACTTGTGGAAACGGTTTCCAAAAAGAAATTACAATTTATGACCGCTGCGCGTAACGATGTCGTGTCACGCGCCCGCGTCTTGATTGGTTGATATTTCCTTGGACCTTTACCTGGTTGCGTGATGTGCTACAAATTGTATTTGAAACAACACTTGTAATGTTTGGTGATATATCTAAGTGTTTTAGTGGTTTGGTCTGTTGGGTTGATCTGTAAATAAGTTTACCTGGTGATTTATGACTGTATAAATTTGTATATGGTCTTGTGTATAGTTGCCGTATCTTTTTGCGGTCCACATAACAATAATATCTAATAATTCTTTAATTATTCAGAGCACAAATAATATGTCTCACGAGAGATACTACACAGATATTATTATGGGTTCTCTGCCAACGAAATTCAAAGATTCCAATCGATAATTATCGTATTCGGTCATGTGATTTCATAATTAGTAATATTATGGCAACAAAAATGATCTCAAAAATATATCTCGTGTCAAGGTTAAGCCCCTGTCGAGAACCGAAACTATCTCTGGCACCGATCGACATTGTATCATCATATCATGGTATCATCATGGTATAACCATAACATCTGGTTAGGCGCTATACATGACAATACTTAGTTATTATTATCATCATGCTTTCATACTAATGTTGTGTATTTTATAAAAAGAAACGTGTACGTGATACTCCACCACGGATTCACCGATCGCAAACCCAATTATTGAACATTTCTCGGGCAAGGATATTCACTCCTATATGTGATAAACTGAACGTGATTATATGGGAATTGCCGGTAATCATGACTTAAAATAAATCTACAATTTTTCACCTGACTAAACAATAGATAGAACCCCACGACAGCAATTTCGACGTTCAGGTTGCAGACAATTAATGACAAGTGACGGTTTGGAACCGGAAGCCAAGGTTACACGAGGTCATATTCATGTGGGTCTGACTAGGAATCACGACCTGGCCACAGCTGAACGCATATCCAAAGGAAATATATTTGTATATTTCAGCTGACATTGTATGTTGCTCCAGGCGCTATACAATGGTGGCCTACCTACGAACTATCCGAGTTCAATACAGTAATGGTAATGGCTAAAATGAACTTGTGCCTCCAAATGAATCACCCGAGTTCAAAACTTCCAGTGGTACCGTAATGACTAAAATGAATTTATGCGCCAACCAATGAATCATCAGTTCAACTATCATTACTTAATGTTCCAACATGAACTTTATAAAGAACATGCTAAACGGGAACCTGTAGTGGCCTATCTTGTTATTTGGTATGTGGTAGAAAAACGAAATTTGTAAGGCAGATAATATATTCCTAAAGAAAAGGTGATTATTGTGTTGGCATAGTTTACGAAGAACACCAATCCATCGCATACATCGCTAACAATTTTTTTTAAGAACACCTTTTATAACACCTAGGCTGAAATTGCTTAAAAAATAAACACAAATTAAAACCAAAATGGCAAATAATTTTTATTTTTTTTAATAGAAAAACCAACAAATCACTAGTCACGTATACAGAGCAGTAGGTTTGACTTATGTAATACCCTCTCTAATACAGTACAGAACAGTATAATATACTGCTCAAAAATAAAAATGTTCGATCCTTGGAAAGTGAGTAAAATAAGAAGAAAGTAAGAACATTTTGAGCCCAAAATTGGCAAAAAAATAAGAACATTGAGCCTTGGCAACATTTTACTGGTTCGTATTTTTTATTTTAAAGTGTATCGACATCACGGTCCCAAAATGATGATGGAGAACGTTGGACCACACCGAGTAATTCAGTAACAATGCTGGAGGCATTGTCAAGAAAAATTCTGCTCCAAACTTAAATAAATATTATAATCAGTATAATGACAGATTGACAAATTTATACCAGTCAACCACTGGCACGAAAGAGGCTTTAAATGGTACATTGTTATATCAGTTTATCACTGCATTACAATGAGGACTAAGCATGGTCTAAATGATCAAACACATGTCAGTCCACTGTGCATTAATGAGGCGATGGTAGGCCTATGCCATGAAAGTTTAATAATTCAGCCCACTGCGTCAATTGTTAAGTCAGTCTAAAACTGAACCAAAGAGGTTTTTTTTTTGTTTTTTTTAGCGCCTTTCACAATCCGCAGGTGATTATACAAGGCGCTGGCACCATATATCTCTGGATATCACTGGATACTGAATTGGCAGATCCGCACATTGTGCAACCTTCTCTGCGTCCTGGGGAGTATCCCTGGTCATTGCTGCTCGAACGCGCACGACCCATACATTCAATGCCATACCATCCTACTAGGTACCCATTTATACTCCTTGGGTAGAGCATGGACCTATTATCCATGGGTAGAGAGAACCAAACGGAAGTAAAGCGTCTAAGGACACAAGCAACTCCCGATCTCACAATAGAAGTCCAACGCCTTACGAATCTGGTTAGCGTATAGTATGGGCCTAATTTCCAAGGCCCTACATTACATAATGATATTAACAGAGAGAATCAATACTTAGGAATGTCCAAATCTCACGAGAAATAAAATAGGCGTTTAGGTCTGTAAATTAGATCCAAACTGATTAGGGCTAGACTTAAACTCAGCTTGACCATGAACGTTTAATAACAAGAGCGACCACTGGTCCGCGCGTTCCTCCATGCTTAAAATACAGTACAGGCGCAAATTATTATATTGGGTTTTTGGAAGAGCTAATAAGCACGTTTAACACTCACGACCTTAGGTTCTTTAGAACACATTCTTAACCGACCGCGCCATTCATGCGACGTGCCGTATTAGTGGTAATGGCAATAATGTACACTAATTTTAAAATAATTAGAATGTTTATTTGTACAAAGAAAAAAATACTTACAATTGAAAAAAAAATAAATAAAATTTCTTAAAATTGGACAAAAAAATTGAATACCAAAACGCGTTTCGAACTCACGACCTTAAGTTCTTTACATCCTTAACCGAAGGTCGCGAGTTCGAATTGCGCCTAAGTGTTAATTTTCTTTTTTTTATGGGAACTGTTTGACAAAATTTAAAAAATAAATAAATACGCGATTCAAACTCACGACCTTTACGACCTTCATTTCTTTAGAACACATTAACCGACCGCGCCATTCATGCGACGTATACTCTCTTAGGTTGTGGTAAATAATAGTAATGTACAGTCCTTGCTGAAACCCCTGTTTTGTTTTGTAGGTGTAGGGGGAACCATGAAGTCAACTAAAAAAAGGCTATGAACGTTTGTTGGAAATCACCTCTAGCTTATGTGTACAAAATTTCACGGACGTCCGATCAAAAGTGGCAACGCTGGACGCTTTTAAAGTTTGAAACCCCTGTTTAGTTTTGTAGGTGTAGGGGAACCATGGGGTCCAACTTTTAAAAGGGCGATGAACGTCTGTTGGAAATCACCTCTAGTTTATGTGTACAAAATTTCCTGCACCTCCGTTCAAAACTGGCGACGCTGAACGCTTATAAAGTTGGAAACGCCTGTTTAGTTTTGTAGGTGTAGGGGGACAATTTTTAAAAAAGGGCGATGAACGTTTGTTGGAAATCTTCATCCACATCCGTTCAGAACTGGTGACTCTGGACGCATTTAAAATGTTTAAAGTTTTGGAAACAACAACAACAACAACAGCAGTGAGGTTCTGGGTCAG